ACTCCCATCACAATGGTTTTTTGAGGTGCATGATTGACCATGAATATGAATGTGCATTTCTCGGTTCAATTTTCATTTGTTCTAAATGGGGTCGGGTGGGAGGTAGAGTTACCATGGTACAGAGATTGACTCAAGACAGTTATTGGTCAATGCAGTGTTGGGAGGTTAGTGCATATCGATTTTGGTTTTATCTTGGAGACTTCACCGGGTGGAAATATGAGATTTGAAAGTGCTCACTTCAAGCTAAGTCATGAGATGACTCAACTAATTGATCCATCTGGATCGATGAAAAGTGACTCGTGGTTTCAATTTGTAAGGTGAGATGTCTTCCTTTAACAAGATTTTATAACATTTCCACCTATGGTCTCTCAATGATTAGTTTATTCCTGATATTAATCCTTGGTTTTCATTTTTTTGGTGCATAATAATTGATTTCTGGCCTCTTTTATCATTTACAGTACTTATCTGGCAAAAAGTATAGGAATAGGCCAGATAAGTGACCATAAGTGATGACAAATCCATACTTGTGCACCAAAAGTTGAAAAATTAAAGAGAAGTGGTGGAATGCCTAATAGCAATGAAACCATCAGTGTTTGTTTCTTCATTTTTTATATGTTGAAAACCTATATCTGCTGAATAAACCAGTCGTATCTATGGTGTTGCATCTTTGCAGCTTGTGTGTGAAGGGGTACCTGGCTGCACGCCGCTACACGGATGAGATAATAAATACCGTGTTATTGATGATAGACAGTGGACTGCCTTGCTTCAGTAGGGGGGATCCGATAGGGAATCTTCGCAAAAGATTCCATCCTGAAATGAGTGAACGGGAAGCAGCCATCTTTATGATTAGGACGTGCACCGATGCATATAACAAGTGGAGTACTGCTGGATATGATTTGATACAGTATATTCAGCAGGGGATTGAGAAATGATTGATTTATAGGATGATGAATCCTTATGATGAAGCTCCCTTTGGGCGGTCTTCCTCCCTTAATGTAAATTTTGACCAATTGTAAGTCATCACAAACATATACGTAGTAGTTGTTTATATAATACAGAGTATATAATATGTCACGTAGGAGCCTTTTCTTTCCTTTTCCCTGTTTCTCTTTTTTATCCCAAAAATGTGAGTGTTTAGAGAGGCAGGTTTACACTTTTCTGTATTCGTAGATGTTTGGGATGTACCGATGTAGACATGTAACCTATAGAGGAAATTATGAGTTGTGGCTATGTAGTTGAATTTTTGTCTCACAATTATAGGGTGGTCACATAATATATATGGGACAATTTAATTGTATCGTGTAACTTTTGAATCTTGTCGTAGATATATTTAGAGAGGTGGGGTTGTACAGTTTTGTGTTCGTAGATGTTTTGGTTGTAGTCTTGTAGACATTTAAGTTAGAGAAAGTTTTCATGGACAATCGAAACCTCATAGCAGTTGTAGACTTGTAGAGTAATTTGTTTATTTTTAGTCACAAAATTCTGAGTCGATTGTACATGAAAATTTTGTATTATCCTAAATAATATATATGGGACAATTTAATTGTATTGTGTAACTTTTGAATCTTGTCGTAGATATATGTAGAGAGGTAGGGTTTTACAGTTTTGTGTTCGTAGATGTTTTGGTTGTAGTCTTGTAGACATTTAAGTTAGAGGAAGTTTTCATGGACAATCGAATGCTCGTAGCAGTTGTAGACTTGTAGAGCAATTTGTTTATTTTTAGTCACAAAATTCTGAGTCGATTGTATTATCACAGTGACATTGTCTAGTACATTTTGGACTTGTAGAGTTACGATTGACTATGGTATCAACTAGGGTTGGATCAGGACCGGTTCAATCGGCCCGGCCTGGTACTGTGTAGTACCGACCCGGTCTGCCAACCGGAAGTCGAAGGGATAGGGGAGAAGAAAAGGGCGGAGAAGTAAAATAAAATAAAATAGAGGGGCAGGAGATACTGAGTGGAAAAAGTGGGGTTATAATTTTACTGACTACAGCAATGTTCATGGCAACAAATTGAGTGATGCATTTCACAAGCTGTAAGTTATAATTAAAGGGGGGTTTCCTACAATATTTGTATGATGGAATCATAAAAAAACAACTTTGTGGTGACTATTTGCACTGGGAGTGTACCAGCACGGTCACTGCATAGTAAATAGAATATCATGACTCATGAGTGTCACTAGTCACTACAATTCACAATTGTCGTCAAGAATCAAGATATCATCATGATCACTATGCTGTAAAAGTCACATATCCGGAATTTACAAAGGTAATTTATGTCAAGTATTTGCTATTGCTTTGTCTTTTATGGTTTTCCATTAATGTAACTAGTATGTCATTAGTGGGATACACACAATAAATTTTTTTGCAAATATTAAGTATGTATTCATCAGTTCCATTCTTATTCTTCGTCTAAAAATTCATTTTTATCATAAAATATTTCGTTGATGAAGCATGTGCACAGACTTCCAATGCAGCAACACTTTGGGGCGGCAGGAACTTCCTCCACAAATTGTCAAATGCCCTTTCCGAACTTTGAACATACCGAATTTTGAACATACCGAATTTTGCTTGTTTTCCTGAAGGGACGATTTGACTTTCCACCCCATTTTCAGAGTAAGTAATGTTCAAAAGTATCGAAACAGCCTTGAACTATGAGATTCCAATGTGATGATAGATTTCTCAAAGAAGAATTGTTTGCTGTAAAAAGGATGAGAGTAGGATTTAGATTTGGAAACATGAGAACTCAACTGGCACAATTACAATGTAGGAGACCAGAACCAAAATACAACATCCAACCAAGTCAATTCATACGAACTGAGTTGGTGGTTGCAAGAGGAAAATACGGGGACAACTTCATAAGGAAACAAAAAACTTTGAGTAAAACTAATAATGTCATAAGTTTAGGCAAACAACCTTCTTTATCATGACATACTATGTACTTTTTAGACCGATAAAAGAAAAGTAAAAATCTTCTCAGCATTGAAAATTGACATTATTCAAGCAAGAATGTTTGTTACTAAGAGCTGGACATGCTAAAAGGTTGTTAGCCGTTATTTAAAGATGGTAAATGCAGAAAACCTTAGCGGAATGCCTCAATACGATGCACCATGATAATTATCGTAACTGATTGTTGTGTTTGAAGCTCCTTCCTTTGTTTAATAATTGAGGGTTTATAAGTAGAGAGAGATGGAAAGTGCAGACATTTACGGTAATTTTGAAAAGGAGTCAAGTCGGGACTGTACCATTGCAGACATGTGACTGGGGTAAGCACAGAAATGTAAAACAATAGATTCATCACCGGGTGTGTATTTTATTAATATTCAAGCTAAAAATGTTACACTTAAAAATATGTTTTCTTTTCACTTTATGTAGATTTTACTGAATGTAAACTATTCTAAATGACACGTCGTATGTTCACATGAAATTGCCACACATCTAATGCTTCACACTGTAATCTTTCGCCCCCTAATTGTTACCCCACGAGTCTTCCAACACATCCCGTCATCCCGTATACCCGTTGAGGGGGGTGGGGGTGGGCTGGACTTGCGTTTTTTGAGTTGTTGTCCCTTTGCTTGTTCTAAAACAGTCTATTACAAGAAATGCTATCAACCTTTCGGCTTATGTGGTCGACACTAGTCCTCAACTGTCCTTGGTGTAAATGAATTGACTTAATGGAGAAAATAGAACATCTATATAGTGCTAAGGTGTTTGGCTCAGTATAAGTTTGTTGCACTTTGGATCTTGCCTAAGATGAGAGATTCAATATACCTTCAACACACTTGCACACAAATAAGAAATGATATTCTTGATGGTTATATTCAAAATAAGTTCAATGGCAGATTACTACTAATATACCTCACGGTTATTCAAAAGAATATACGAAGTATGATAATTCGTTTTATGATAACCATTGGTAAACAATATATTGCTAGAAGACCCCTAGTTGATAAGTATTTTTGTTGTTAAGCTTAACACTTGTAGGCTTGAACCGCACTGCATATCAAGATTTAAGCACGATTTAAACATGCATGCTAGAGAAATTTAAACATTATTCCGTAAAAAATTAAAAAATTGAAGAAGATATACCAACTCTCCCGAATGCTTTCTAACAATATTATTATAATCAGAATTTTGTGTGAAGTAATAGAATAATACGGAGTATTATGGAGATTACTTCATAAATTTAAAAGAAAAAAAAGGAATGTATGTAATCATTATGTGGAAAAGCCAAATGGAAATAGAAAAAACTCTTAAATGTATATGAGTTGTACACAGTATACACAAAACCAAAAGGGGCACGATTAAAACCAAAAACTCCTAGTTGTCTGTGTACACATTTTGAAATTTTTTCCATTTTCAGTTCCTCGACTATTGAGTCAGTGACACTTTTGGTACTCAACTTTTAATTTTTCCATTTTTAGTTCTCGACTATTATGCGAGAGACACTTTTAGTCATCGCCTTCAATGATTCCCCCTGAGTATTATTCCCCCGTCCCTATTATATCTTCCAAATAGGTTTGACACACAGTTTAAGATAGTGAATATTGTGTGGTGGAGAGTTATGCAGAGAAGAGAGAAATGTGTAAGAATTGCTGTGAAACACAAATTCTGGCCAAAAAAGGAAAGTGGAAGTTTTAATTGGGATGAATGAAAAAGGAAAGTTGGAAATTTATTTAGGGACGGATGGAGTATAAAATTGACACTTTTAATTCTTCCACTATGAATTTGACAGAACAAGTGGAGGACTAAAAATATCACTACTCTGTATTAAATTATAATAATTGAAGGATCAATAATGTCACTTTTATGAAAATTGAAGGACTAAATGTGAAAATTTTCAAAAAGAGGTACAAAAACTTTCTGTCGCACAATAATCGAAGTACTAAAAATGGAAAAACTCAAAATAGAGTACCAAAATGTTAATTAATGACATCATATTGGAAGTATAAAAGTAGAAAGCATTTTGTATCATCAACCATTTCTCATGAAAATTATTGTGTAATTTGAAAAAGATGGGAAAATTCTCTGTTTCAGTAGAATTCACATACTGACATTCTCTGTTTCAGCAGAACACACATACCGACTTAACCAGCGGGGCAGCAGGCCGCATTCAACCTCACGTCCGGTCCACCACTGCTTTTTAGCCCCAATTTGACTTCCTGGTTCGCATCTTTATCCCAGGGACATCTGCACCCGAAACTTTGCCTGCACTTTGAGTTTTTTTATATGCGTGAAATGACTTTGATTAGCTGATCGTATGCCGGGGTTCGGCGTATTATTACAATTGGAAGTTTTAGTTAGCTAGAGGTAGATCGGAGTTTGAAATGGAGTCCTTAATTCAGCTGTGCGATTTGATCGCTGACAACCCTACTCAATTCCGAGATAAACTGATGTGGATGTGTGGCCGATGTCCATCGGCGGAGGTAATGCTTGCGGGGTCTCCTCGGGTTTCGAGGTCACAGCTGAATGCGGTCCTCGCGGTGGCTCGATTCCTCTCAAGGTGCTCCAACATCGTTGACCAATTGCCTAGATCACTCATTATTGCTTTTTATCGCTCTATATGTTCTTCTTTCGACCCATCGTTTTGGCCTCAGTCGTTTGGGATCGACTCGATCGCATTATTCTTTCACGATTTTCTGGGATATGTCTCAAAAGCATCAGATTTATGCCCGGAATTTGCCACATATGTCTCAGGGTTCACTGCTGAAATTGTGATATCTGCAATAGGCAATGTAACCGGAGATATCAGGATATGCAAGGTGTTCTTGAATGCCATATCTCTAAATTTCCCTCCACTTGATCCTCCTGATGCGGATAGGCTAATTTTCTCCCTTCTTGATCGGTTTGAGGTTTCCATTCCCTGCTCTTCTCAAGAACTCATTTCGAACACCTCAGCAGCAACCTCTGCTCAGAGCTCACCACTGAGTTTGGGCCATGATATGTTGAGTCCTGGAAATGATATCAGCAATGTCTCTGGGTCATCCACTAGTTTAGTTTCCAGACTTGCCGATGACCCCATCAGCTCACAGTCACCTAAGGGTATCATGTTAAATGGAAGCAATGGTCCTTGTAGGACCAATGTGGTTTTACTGGCAGCAAATATGGTCTGTAATGGTAGTGGGGGAGGCAGTGTTTCGTACAAGCGAACTATTGCTGCTTTTGAGGAGGAGCCCTTAGATAGCCTTGAGAAGAGGGAAATAGCTTTCAAATTGATAGGACACATATTGGACAAAGTATCAGTTGATGCCAAGCTCTTGGAGCATGTTAGAAGCATTGCTAGGGAGCAACTACAGTCAATGGTGGCGTTTCTCAAGGTGAAACCAATGGGTTATGCACTTATGCAACTCTATTGCTCCTTTGCTTAAGATTCCTTGTTGAAAGAGAGAGAGAGAGAGAGAGACAAAGCCTCTGAATTACAGCCATGGTTGTTGTACAAACCTTTTTTATACCCACAAGTACACACACACTGGCTATTTTATTGTCTGTGAACGGACTATTTTTTTGTTGTTTGGGGAATAGCCTGTTCATAGACATAACACATGTTTTGGGGTTTGTCTTGTCTGTGAATAAGCTATTCACAAACAAAAGATAGCCTGTTCACAAACATGTGTACTGGTGTGTACAAAAAAAACTTGTACAAACAATTTTTTCCTCTGAATTAAACTACATACTTTTTGCCTATGTAGCACGGAAACTCTCTGCGGCTCGCGTTTCCCCATTTCGGAAAATCGGAAGCATTTCAGAAACTCGGAAATTCAAATTCCCGTTTCGCTTCCGTTTCCGTAATAAAGAAGAATTGGGAAACGTTTCGGAAACCTTGGGGTTCCAATCATTTTCTTTATTTAAAAGATTGTGTAATGGAATATAGTGTCTAGTTAAAAATATTGATTTTTGTGGTATTTCTCCGCATCAACATTGTTACATTTCGTAGCGCAATGTATTGCTAGAAATGCATTACATTTTATGTTTAATTATGCACTAATATAAAATGATTTCTAAATTTGAACATGTATAGTGTTTTTATTATTGGGTAATTAAACAAGTTATGTGAAAAAAATCATGTGCATATGTATAAATGAAAAACTTGTGTACATATATGAAAAAAATTATAAATATATCCTTATATTTTTAATATTTACCCGTTTCCTCCACGTTCCGTATCCTATATTTTTTAGAAATTACGTTTCTTGCGTTTCACGTTTTCCGTTTCACGTTTCCGTGCTACTTGGGACCAGGCAGAACAAGGTCAATCTCTAAAAGTTAGGATCAACAGAAAGCTTTCAGCATACCAAGCAGCTTCTAAGTTACAGATTAAAACCCTTGTGACTATAGATTCTGATGGGAAGTCATCAAAGTGGTTGTTGCATGATGCTCTTAAACTATTGATTGAGGCTGCTGCGGCGTGTTTGTTCTCACTGTGGCGAAAGTTAAAAGCTTGCGAAGATTTGTTCGGCGCATTGCTTGCTGGAATTTCTCAAGCTGCTACTGCTCATGGTGGTCAGCTACTACCTGTTTCACTATTCTGGTTCAAACATCTTGTCCTGGCTGCATGTGATCAGGTACACTTTTGGGGTCTGTTAATGTTGTTCCAAAGGTGCTTTTATGCTTCTGTTGAATGTTTTTTCGTGGTGCTATGGGTGACAGGCTGACACTTGGGCCAGCAGTCATGGGGCCATGTTCGAAAGCCTCTTGAAAACTAGCTCTGAGATAATTGAGTTTGGATGGAAAGCAGACCAATCTCTAGTGAACACTTTTATTATGGGATTGGCTACAAGTATTCGGGAAAGAGATGATTACAGGGTAGAGGTTAGTTAACGTGTATAGTCATTTAGAAATGAAATACATATTAATTTGTGGTTGAGAGAGTGTATGGTGCATCGAGTAACAATTGTCATTTGTCACTTGATTTTGCTTAAGTGTTACATGTTCCTCTTGTTTACTACTTGTTTGTGAGGTCAATAGGTCATTGAAATTCATACACTTTGCACAGTTCAATGTTGAAGGTCCGAAGGATTTCAGAAAGTAGTGTAATGTCCTAAATATTCTTAAGATTGGGAGTTGGAGCGAGTTTGTTTAATCATATAAGATGTATGGGTCAACTATTAGCAAACCTGGTTTTTTTTAATTGTATTTGGTTTGAAAAAGATTTGATTTCAAAAGTGTGTAGCTAAGTTCTTAAATAAGTATTTGATAATATAGGGAAAACTGTCAAATAGGTCCCGTACTTTCACGAAAAAGTCAATTGAGTCCTACTACTTTTAATCGAATCAATTAGGTCCATGAAGTGCTAAAAGTGATCAAATTAGCTATTTTCCAGGTGATGATCCGGTTTCCCGGTTGACTGATGAAGTGGACATCAAGCTGGCGTTTTTTTTACTGTTTTGTATTATTTTTTATACTTTTTCGTTTTCTTTTAGATTTTCTTTTTGTTTCTCCTTCTTTCTTTTTACTGTTGTCTATTTCTCTTCCCTCCCACAGACCCAGACCCGTTCTTCTTCCCTATTTCTTCATTTCCCTTTCTTTCTTTTTTCTATCTTCTTTCTTTATTTCTTTCACCTCCGATCTCAGTCCCTCCTTAACTTTGTTCCAGTCTGCATCACCAAACATAGAAGGGGATGAGACTTCCTGGAGGCTGTGGCTATGGAAGGTATGTGGAGGTAGGGGCGGATGTCCGGAGGTGGTGAGAATGGAGGTAGAGGCGGCGGTTTGAAGGTGGTTGGTGTGGAGGTAGGGGCGGTGGAGGTGGTAGATATGGATGTGGGGGCGCCGCGGCGGCGGAAGTCGTGGCTATTAAGGTAGAGGCGGCGGAGGTGGTGGACATGGGGGTAACGGCGGTCGGACAGCAAATGTGGTGGGTATGGATGTAGGGGTGGCAGAGGTGCGTGGTGGGTACGGAGGTGGCGGTGGCGGAGATCGCTCTGGTGGAGGAGTCAGAGATGGAATCCCTCAAGCCGGTGGTGGAGGTCGAAATCTCGCCGGAGAAGAAAGACAGGGAAAGGAAATGCACTTGGGGTTTGGGGGAGAAGAAAGAATGGACTTGGGAGTTGGGGGCTTGGGGGATCGGAGAAGAAAAAATGGACCGGGAGAGAAAGAAAGAGAGAAGGAAAAAGGAGAAAAAAGAAAAAGGAAAAGAGTAGAAAAATTTTTTTTAAAAAAAAAGAGAGAGAAAATTATAAAAGAAAATGCCAGGTGGGCATCCACGTCACCTGTCAACCGGGAAACCTGATCGTAACCTACAAAATAGTGAATTTGATTAATTTTTAACACTTCGTGGACCTAATTGATTCGCTTAAAAGTAGTAGGACTCAATTGACTTTTTCGTGAAAGTACAGAGACTTATTTGACAGTTTTCCCGATAATATATTATAAAGTGTTTAAAAAGTACTACCTCCGTTCCTAAAAATTCTTCCCGGTTTGACTTGGCACGCTTATTAAGAAAGTGGAATAAAGTGGAAATGTGTGGTTGTGTAAGAAAAAGGTAAAATGAATGTGAACCACACAAATTGTACAAAAAGGGAAAGTGGGAAGTATTTTTGGGAACGGCCCAAAAAGGAAAGTGGGAAGTATTTTTGGGAACGGAGGGAGTATTATTGTTGGTGAGAACTATAGTAGCCAATTAAAAGTGGGGTACCGTGCCTATCATTCATTTGATTGGTCCAAGGCATTATATCACTTTTTAATATTCATCTAAATAATTCAACTACAATATTTTGATCGGTCCATGTGGACAAATGTATGGTACCTTATGGCCTTATGGGTACCATAGAATCTACCTATTTTTAAATGAATTTTGTGGAAAATGGTGGCAAAAGGAAAAAAACATTATCTAGTTCGATAGTATTTTGATTAAGAAAGAGCAAAACACAAAACAATCACTTAAGAAACTACAATTTGCAGTTTCTTACTAGTAATCCTTAGCAGTTTGGGGCCGTTTTATGTTCAGAAGCTGCCAAAGTGCTCCTCCAGCGCATGAGCTTTTTACTTTTTAAATTTTGGGGAGCCAAACACTCCCATACAAAAGTGAGGTACATATCTGCTAGTCAATCAACTCTCTGCAATTGAATTCATCGGTCTTCTACTGGAGACATTCACAATACATTTGGCTGTAAACTACCACCAATTTCATATCATAGTATGCTACAGTTCTACATACACATGGAGGTGGGGATGAAGAGGCGGGAGGTATCTGCTTCCATTTATGATGTGTGACTTCTTGCTTTGAAACATTTTCCTTAAAATAGAAAAGTCAAGAAAATAATTGTTTTTCTTCATATTTATGTGATTAGAAATGTCATTTATATTTGGGTGATAGGTTTGTATATGTGCCTCGGCAAGGTTATGTGAAGGGCAGCCTTGGCCTTGGCACATCTGTTGAGGTGTTGCCGTGTGACCTTGAGGTAAGAGGTTTCAGTCCTAGAAGCAGCCTCTTGCGAAAATGCAAGGTAAGGGTTGCCCTTTTTAAATGTTTAAGGGGTATGTGCCAGCTTCTGGGTTATAAATGTTTAATTTGTACAGTGCTTGTTTGTCTTAGCTGATGGCTTCTTGGTAAAGAGGTTTAAAAAGTCTCATTTTAGAGCTTCTTAAAAAATAAGGTGTCCACATCTAACATTAAACACTCCCTTATTTACTTTTAGTGTCTGGTCCAACTTCTATATTTTGAGTAGATTGGCTCCAAAATAAGTTGATTTAAATGTGCACGTGGTAGGCTGGAATAAGAGGTATATTTGGTTGGTTTGCTGCTTTTACACGTGTAAGATTTTTCCTAAAATTATGTGAACACCGTTCCTCTTTTATACCTTTCAGCAAGAAAGGGAGAAATGTGCAGCTTCTGCTAGTCAATTGAATGTTATACGGCTGCTGGCTGACCTGAATGTCAAAGTTAACAGGCCTGAAGTGGTTGACATGATACTTCCATTGTTTATTGAAAGCTTAGAAGAGGGTGATGCTTCCGTGCCTGGAAGACTAAGGCTGCGGGTATGTTGCTGTCGTTTCTGCTATATTTTAGTGCACTTTAATCTCTATATCTTTTTACTTTCACAATGTTAAGTGTTTCATTTGATCTTTTTCTCAGATGCTTAACCTCTTATGTTGGATTTATTGCAGCTTCTCGATGCTGTTTCTCATCTGGCGAGTTTAGGCTTTGAGAAAACCTATCGTGAAGCTATTGTTCTAATGATACAGAGCTATGTAAGCAAACTTGCTAATATTGGATCAGCTGAAAGTAGAACTTTGGCTCCAGAAGCTACCACAGAACGTGTCGAGGTTTGTTGCCATATGCTTGTTGCAATTATATACTAATAATGCTTAGTTTTCTTTAAGAAGAGCTGGGTCTTTTTGGCGTGCTCACATGTTCAATCACATTCTAGACCATTCCTGCAGGATTTCTTCTGATTGCCAGTAGATTAGTCAACCCTAAGTTGCGCTCAGATTACCGTCACCGGCTGTTGTCATTGTGTTCAGAAGTAGGCTTGGCTGCTGAGGCAAAAAGTGGAAGGTAGGTCTCTGCTACTTCGCTAAGCAGGCATTTATGGTATGTATCCTCTTCAGGGAAGCTAATTACACTTGTCTTTTACAGGAGTGGTGCAGATTTTCTTGGGCCTCTACTTCCTGCTGTTGCTGAGATATGTTCAGACTTTGATCCGAGTGTAGATATTGAACCCGCACTTCTCAAGCTATTTAGAAATTTATGGTTTTATGTTGCTCTCTTTGGGTTAGCTCCACCGATACAGAAAAATCAAGGTATACCAAAGCCTGTTTCCACCACTCTAAACAGCGTAGGCAGCATGGGAACAATTGCACTCCAAGCAGTCAGTGGGCCGTATATGTGGGATTCTCAGTGGTCTTCTGCTATCCAGCGCATCTCCCAGGGGACCCCACCCCTTGTAAGTTACACAGTGCAAGAGACTTGCATCTTCTAATTTGAAGAGATGACATCATTTCTTATGTTGTGTTGTATACTTTTATATTTGTTAAAAGGGAAATAACAGATATTAGTGCAAACACATTCGTATAAAGCTTACTAAATACTCTCTCGGTCCCCAAACACATCCCATCAGAGACGCGGTGAAGAAAGAGAGTAATCAATGTTGTACTATTCAAAGGGGTAAAAGAGTCTCTTAGTACACATTACCATAAAGGGAAGTAAGAAATTAATTTAGGGATGGAGGGAGTAAGATTCAGTATATTGGTACCAGAAGGAATCAGTTATATGAAGAATAAAATAAAGATTAGAGGAAAGTGATTCCTCGGGTGCCAGAGAGTGACAGTGTTCCGTGCATCACTCCAGTTCACGAGCATAAATTGGATATCAACTGAAGTCTTAAATGAGTATAACTTGTAATGGTCATAAGAAACAGAACTACTGATTATAATTGTGCTAGTCTGCTACTATATGATTCTCCACTATCCATGAATGTTTTTCTTATCAATACTCATACGATATTTCATATTCATTGCTATTACACTCTGATGACGGGTCAGATATTTCGAGAGGCATTTAGGGTGTGAAAGAGAATATACTTTAGAATATTAGAATATACTTCAGAATATTCTAGGAATATACTTTAGGATATTTTTATTGTATAGAATCTTGTATAGGAATATTCTATTTGTAATATATATTTATAGGGACTTAACCCTTCAATGAAATACACATAAAATCCTTCTCTCCATCTTTATTATCATTCTAGTTCATATTTCAACATGGTATCAGAGCCTTCCATTCCAGTTTAGTTTATTTTCAGATTTCAGCTTAGTTTGTTATCTTAGTTTAGTTTTCAGACTGTGTTCTTTCTCCTAGAAATAGATTTCAGTCCAAAATCTTCAGAACCTCGAGGCAGCACTCTGTCTCCAAGAACCTCCTATCTCAGAACCTCCTACTCTTCCCAGAACCTCCTATCTCAGAACCTCCTACTCTTCCCAGAACCTCTTCCCAGAAACTTTTCTTTTCCCAGAACCTCTTCCCAGCCAAATTCTTTCTTCAGGAATTTCAGTTTTCAGATTCTTCAGGAACTTGAGTTCAGTTTTTTCTCAGATTCTTCAGAATCTTTCAGAACCTTGGTACAGTCCAGAAAAAAAAAAGAAAAAAAAAATCAGAAACTTAGTACCAAACTCAGAACCTTCGTCCAAAATTCACAGTAGCACCTCCAACCGAAGCAGGCATCCCTTCCACCGCCGACCAAACACTCGAAATCCGCAAGGCAAAATCGACACGCGTTCAGTACTTCTTTCGTTCTTTCTTCGAAGGATATCTGTGGTTGGTCGCTGGGGTTTGACATCGGACATCTCTGGACGGATATCAATGGACATCCTCTCCTTCTAGTTGTTCGCATCTGTCGGGGCCTCGCAAAGGATATTTGTGAACATCCGCAGGCTCCTACATTAATTGTTCGCACATGCTGGGGGGTCTCGCATCGTACGTAAGCTGCTGTAAGATTTCATAAAATCTCAATTTTTATTTATTTATTTAATTGCGGTCTCATAAAAAAACAAAAAAAAAATTGAAAAAAAAAATTATGTCTTGTACGAGTGGATTTGACAGAGGTTTAATATGCAATTATTGCAAAAAGCATGGACACTTGATCAAAGAGTGTAGGAAATTGATGTTCAAAAATCAAGAAAATCAGCTTCCTCATATTGCTTCCGCTACTAGTTCATTTGACGGATCAGTTGCTATTTCTTCAGACGAGTATGCTAAATTTATTTGCTACCAAGAATCTCTAAAGCATTCCTCTACCCCTATCTCGGTAGTCGCAAATTCAGGTATTTCAAACACATGTCTTGTTTCATCATCCTTGAAATGGGTCATATGACTGGTAATCCTAGTCTATTCTCATCATTTCACTCACATTTACCTACTTCCAGTGTCACTTTAGCTTACGGGTCTACCTCACCCGTTCTTGGATCTGGTACTGTTGTACCAACTTCTACAATACCATTATCGTCTGTTTTGAGTCTTCCTAATTTTGCATTTAATCTGCTTTCCATCAGTAAAATCACACGTACTCTTAATTGTTATGTAACATTTTTTCCGGGATATTGTGTGTTTCATGATCTGTTAACGAAGCATACTATTGGTCAAGGACATGAGTCGGCTGGTCTTTATATTTTGGATACATCAATTACAAAAGGTATCTCTTGCCTTGGGGTTGGAAATCTATTAGAAGCTCATTACCGATTAGGACATCCATCTCTCTCACTAATGAAGCAATTATATCCTCAGTTTAATAAGGTGTCTTCTATACAATGTGAGTCGTGTGAGTTTGCTAAACATCATCGCACTACTTTAAGTCCCCGACTTAATAAACGAGCAAATGCTCCGTTTGATCTTGTCCATACTGATGTTTGGGGGCATGTCCAGTTGTGTCCAAACCTGGTTTCAAATATTTTGTCACTTTTGTTGACGATTATTCTCGTATGACATGGGTGTATTTTATGAAGCGTCGATCCGAGGTATTTACTCATTTCTCTGCATTTTGTGCTGAAATTAAAACTCAATTTAATGTTCCTGTTCGTGTGTTAAGGGGAGACAATGCCCAAGAATATTTATCTGCTCCATTTAAATCTTTTATGCTTCAACATGGCATTATTCATCAAACTTCATGCGTAGACACACCTCCTCAAAATGGAGTTGCTGAAAGAAAGAATCGACATCTGTTAGAAACTGCAAGGGCTCTTCTATTCCAAATGAATGTGCCTAAACAGTTTTGGGCTGACGCTGTGTCTACTTCATGTTTTTTGATCAATCGTATGCCATCTTCTGTTTTGGATGGTAAAACTCCTTATCAATGTCTTTTTCCAAATAAAGAACTTTTTCCTATTCCACCTAAAATATTTGGTTGCACTTGTTTTGTTAGAGATGTTAACCCTCATCGGACGAAATTGGACCCCAAGTCATTGAAATGTATTTTCTTAGGTTATTCTCGAGTTCAAAAGGGGTATAGATGTTTTTGTCCAAGTACAGGTCGATATCTTATTTCTATTGATGTCTCATTTCATGAAAATACACCTTTTTCATCATCCAAGACAGATATTCATGAGGACAATGATGAAATACTCATTTACACAGTTACTATACCTGAGACCACACCTTCAGTAACTATGCCGAATGTCAGTATTCTTGACCCTAGACCTCCTGTACACTTGGTTTACACCCGTCGACACAAAGCACAAGATCACTCCCCACCTGTGACACCTGTGATTACATATCCTGATACTGGTCCGACTTCGATCTCATGTCCTGAACCAGTACCTGCCTCTTCAGATCTTGTCTCTACATCTGATCTTGACCTCCCGATAGCACTACGTAAAGGTACACGGTCTTGTACTCATCCTATTTCCTCATTTGTGTCATACAGTCAGTTATCTCCTGCCTCATGTTCTTTTGTTGCTTCCATTGATTCTATTTCTGTTCCCAAATCTGTTAAAGAAGCTTTTTCTCGTCCTGAATGGCGTCATGCCATGGTAGAGGAAATGAATGCTTTGGATCTTAATGGTACTTGGGATTTGGTAGACTTGCCTTCAGGGAAGAAGTCTATTGGATGTAAGTGGGTCTTTGCTGTTAAGGTTAATCCAGATGGATCTGTTGCTCGATTGAAAGCTCGATTGGTTGCAAAGGGTTATGCTCAAACCTATGGTGTTGATTATTCTGACACTTTTTCTCCTGTTGCTAAATTAACATCTGTCAGGTTACTTATCTCACTCGCTGCAACTCATGATTGGCACTTACACCAGTTGGACATTAAAAATGCATTCTTGCATGGTGACCTTCAGGAGGAAGTTTATATTGAGCAACCTCCGGGATTTGTTGCTCAGGGGGAGTATGGGAAAGTTTGTCGACTTCGCAAATCTCTTTATGGTCTGAAACAGAGTCCTCGTGCATGGTTTGGGAAATTCAGTCAATCCATTGAACGGTTTGGAATGATAAAAGGTCAATCAGATCACTCTGTCTTTTACAGAAAAACGAAAGCAGGTATCACATTGCTTGTGGTGTATGTCGATGATATTGTGATTACAGGAAGTGATACTGCAGGTATTTTGGCCCTTAAGAATTTTCTTCATAGCCAATTCCAAACAAAAGACCTAGGCTCATTGAAATTCTTTCTAGGTATTGAGGTAACACGGAGTAAGAAAGGCATATTTCTATCTCAACGTAAATATGTACTTGATTTACTAACTGACACAGGGAAATTGGGAGCAAATCCAAACACAACTCCCATGGTTCCCAATGTGCAACTCACTTCAGAAGGCATACCATTCGAAGACCCAGAAAGGTACAGAAGATTGGTTGGAAAGCTTAACTATCTCGCAGTCACTCGTCCAGACATTGCTTACTCTGTGAGCGTAGTGAGTCAATATATGTTATCTCCGACCATTGACCATTGGGCTGCTGTAGAACATATATTATGTTACTTGAAGGGAGCACCAGGACGCGGGATTGTCTATCAAAATCACGACCACATGAGAATAGAATGTTTTGCTGATGCTGACTGGGCAGGATCTAAAGATGATCGAAGATCTACCTCGGGGTATTGTGTCTTTGTTGGAGGAAACCTAGTATCCTGGAAGAGTAAGAAACAGAGTGTGGTTTCCCGTTCGAGTGCCGAATTAGAATACCGAGCTATGGCACAATCTGCATGTGAGATCATATGGATAGGCCATTTATTGGGTGAAATCGGATTGAAGACACCAATGCCTGCTAAATTGTGGTGTGATAATCAAGCTGCCATACACATTGCCAACAACCCAGTATTTCATGAGAGAACAAAGCATATTGAGGTTGATTGTCATTTTATTCGAGAGAAGATACAAAAAGGATTGATCTCTACGGGATATGTGAAGACTGGAGAACAACTTGGAGATTTGTTCACTAAAGCACTAAATGGGATCCGAGTTGGTTATTTATGTAACAAGTTGGGCATGATAAATATATATGCTCCAACTTGAGGGGGAGTGTGAAAGATATAGAATATATTTTAGAATATTAGAATATACTTCAGAATATTCTAGGAATATACTTTAGGATATTATTATTATTGTATAGAATCTTGTATAGGAATATTCTATTTGTAATATATATTTATAGGGACTTAACCCTTCAATGAAATACACATAAAATCCTTCTCTCCATCTTTATTATCATTCTAGTTCATATTTCAACATAGGGTTTCAAATGAAATAAACTGGGTATCTTAATTTTAAGGCTTGAATACCAACAAACAATTTCATCAGGTTGTGAGCTCTGTCAAATGGCTTGAAGATGAATTGGAACTTAATGCTCTTCATAACCCAGGTAGCCGAAGGGGGAGTGGAAATGAAAAAGCTGCTGCAAATCAGAGGGCTGCCCTTTCTGCTGCTTTGGGAGGGCGCTTTGAGGTTTCAGCAATAAGCACCATTTCAGGTCTTTATGATACATCTTCATCATTGGTGTTGAAAAAACATCTACTTTTAAAGCCTCCGATGACTGGCTTAGAGTATCCTAAGTCCTAATGCTTTGTCAGTTATTTTCTTACACAGGCGTGAAGACAACTTATCTACTCGCGGTAGCATTTTTAGAGATCATACGGTTCAGTAGCAATGGTGGTATCCTAAATGCTGGCCATGGTTCTACTGCTTCTCGGAGTGCTTTCAATTGTGTCTTTGAATACTTGAAAAGCCCTAATCTTATGCCATCAGTTTCTCAGTGCTTAACAGCAATCATCTACCGGTCCTTCGAGACAGTATTAGACTGGCTGGTATGTGCACACGCACTATATATATGTGTGTGTACATGTACAGATCTATGTACACATATGCACACACACATGTAATACACACATGTACTTAGACACACATATGTACATGTTTGCATATGTATACATCTATGTATAGTTCTTGGTTTAAACCAGAATTTTAGAAAGATACTTTTGGAGATAAAAATGATAATGAATGTGATAAAATGGATTAGAGAGATAAGAACTAATGAATGTGCTAGAAACTGCGGTGGTATTTTTGCAAATAAAGTAATAAACCAAACTTTTCTTCCACCGCGAAAAGTGCACTACCCTAAACATAAAAGTGCATTATTCACACCTTTTGATTTCAAGTGTCATTCTCACTGGAACCGCACTACAGTACTACACGCACACACACTGTATTTATTTCCCATTTTCTGCTGAAAGTTTTGTAGTCAACAAACAAGACTACAATTTATGAGTATAATTGCTTCTTTGGAAAGGATGACCGAAGATCGGAGACTGGGAAGGTTGCTGAGACTAGAGAGTCTACCTTGTCTGTCCATGCTTGTTGTTTAATAAAAAACTTATCTCAGAGGGATGAACATGTTCGCAATATCTCTGTTAATTTACTGAATCAACTCAAGGATCGATACCCTCAGGTTGAATCCCATTGTCTTTTACATTTCTCACAACTCACACATCTTTATTGCTATCTTCTCTCCTGTTTCTAATTATAGTTTCACATTGCCTCATGTGATTTCAGATTATATTGAACTCTTCTTGTTTGGATTTGCTGCTGTTTTCTGTAAAAAATGAACCTTCTTCAACTCTTGTAAGTGATCCTGCTTGGGTTGCTACTGTCCGTTCTTTGTACCAGAAGACTCTTCGGGAATGGATAGTTGTGTCACTATCACATGCTCCATGCACCACTCAGGGCCTACTTCAGGTTACTTTTTATAATTTCCTTGGTCATCTTTTTTAATGATGTATACTTTCACTCATTAGTTGGGGTATAAATTTATTATATTATATTATATATATATATATATATGGGTTAAACCAATGTCTATATTACTGCAAGGTTCAATTTAACTGCTCCACATTTTTATTGTGATGCCACGCTGAATTAACGTGCTGCCACACTCCAATGATGTGATCCCTTTCTAGTAACCATATTGCCACTGTTTTCAGTTTCTTTCGAATCACAATTTAATTCTTAAGTTGAGAATTGTGATCTCAGGAAAAGCTCTGCAAATGGAACACTTGGCAAAAAACACATCCAACTAAAGATGTTGTTTCTCTTCTATCTGAGATTAAGATTGGTACTGGTAAGGACAACTGTTGTACTGGCACAAAGACTGCAAATATTCCTGCTGTCATGGCTTCAGCTGCTGCAGCATCTGGTGGAAATTTAACAGTGACAGAGGCATTTAATTTGGAAGTGCTAAGTACTGGAATTGTTAGTGCTACTGTCAAATCTAACTATGCTGGGGAGATTGCTGGAATGCGAAGGATATATGAGGGCATTGGCGGGCTTGATTCTAATTTCCTAACAATGGGAAATGGGCGCAATCTTGACCCCCCAATCCCTGGATCTATAGCCATTGTTCAAGACTCTCAGACCAAAAGTGTTTCTTTTCATGAGTTATTACTTGTGAGGTTTGTTCATCTACTTCAGAAGTTCGTTAACATAGCAGACACAGGTGCTGAGGTAGATAAATCATCATTTCGTGAAACATGTTCTCAAGCTTCTGCTTTACTTCTTTCAGATACGGTAAATGCAAGTTTTTACCTTCCTTTTACCTTTTTCCTTGAAGGGACTTGTGCTTACCCTAAATGCTCACCTGCTGAAAGTAATAGTGCACTCTTTGTTGTAGGGTTCAGATTCAAAGTCTGTTGAGAGCATTACAAAGCTTCTACGTCTTCTGTGCTGGTGCCCAGCTTACATTTTAACACCCAATGCGATGGAGACAGGTATATTTATCTGGACGTGGTTGGTTTCAGCAGCTCCTCATCTCGGGCCTCTTATCCTCTCTGAACTTGTTGATGCATGGTTGTGGACGGTTGACACTAAACGGGGTCTTTTTGCATCCGAGTCACGGTATGCTGGACCTGCTGCTAAGTTAAGGCCTCACCTGTCTCCCGGGGATCCAGAATTACCTCCAGAGAAGGATCCTGTTGAACAGATATTGGCCCATAGACTATGGATCGGATTTTTTGTTGATCGCTTTGAGGTTATGTGTTATGTTTCTTTGCTCTGCAATGTTTTGTAGAAGTTATACTGCTATTAGTGCTATGTCTTTCATTTAGCGCTGTACATGTTATCTTTTTAATTTATCTCATTTTTTCATTCCATATTTGATAATTTATCCAATGCTTCAGCATTATGGTGTGCTAACTTATCTACAAGAATGTGTCAAGTTTTTTTTTGTTTCCAAGCTGGTGTAAATATTGTAGTTGTTTCCAAAAATAAATTGTAATCTAAATATTGTCACATAAGAGAAATCTACATATGTAGCTGTTTTTCTTTTTCTGACTTTTATTAACTTTTTTTTTGTGTCAGGTGGTGCGACATAATAGTACTGAACAGCTTTTACTATTAGGTCGATTGCTACAAGGAACCACAAAGCTCTCTTGTAACTTTTGTCACCACCCTGCTGCTTCTGGAACCTTCTTCACTCTCATGCTTTTAGGGCTAAAGTTTTGCTCTTGCAAGTCATGGGGTAGTCTACAAAACTTTGCGCCGGGGCTTCAGCTACTGGAAGATAGGATTTACAGGTAAATGCTGTTATGTAAATGTTGATCACATCACATGCATCTGAAAGTATTATCTGCATATCTAGTGTATGTATATAATGAGTAAGCGCTCACTATGAGGCTATAACATGTAAAGATATCCTGTTGATCGCAGTGTGTATGTCAAACCATCCAATTGTTATACTTATATGGTTGCCTAATTGTTATAGCCCAACCTTGTCTGTTTTTTTAATTGCTCTAGTACTACCGACCTATTATAGTGTTTTGGTTCCTAAATATAGAAATTCATGTGCTATTTAATAGAGCCAAAGTAAGAAATCTCTAATGAAAAGAAAGGAACAAGCCTATTGTTTCTTTTGCTATGAGAATGAAATGAAAGTAAAAGTTAGTGTTGGATATAATTATAGAAAGTATAAAGTTGTTAAATCCATCAAAGTAGTCTCATTTGGTCTTTTGACATCTTATCACCGATTTACCGTTCATTCCATCAAATGCTCTAGTGTCAGGTTTGGATCGAGGACTTACGTATCCGATCCAGACACTCATGACCTCTGTTATTGCTTTTAATCCAATTTCGAAGTTTGTTTGCTCACTAGTTGAATTCATTTTCAATTGATTCAGTTAGAAAAGAATGGAGAATTTGAGTAGCAAGAAGTTTCTTTTAGGAACGATCTAGGCTTTAGAAGTTTAGCCATCTATAGGCTATAGCACAATGGCACAGAAACATCATGTGCATGGGTATATGCTGAGAATGTATGTCATTGACACTTTTGGTGCCCGTTTGTGGACACATTTCTTATCAGACTTACCAACCTCATTTCCTACCAAACACTTGGTTGGCTACACTGGCTGATTTGGCTCATATGTAAAATAAAAAGTATTGCAAAATTACATGTTTCCTCAAATGGATGAAATGAGAGAGAATAACAGTATTATAGCACTTCTATCCTCATTATTTAGGTTTGTTTTTTAAAATTGTCAAAAACATTCTTAAACAAGTCAGCACACTTTGATCCAGTCATTTCAGCCACAAGTTTAGTTCATTTATCAATTTCAACCATTTCAACCAACCTTTACCCTCACCATATAGTTCTTAGTAGTTGAGTGGAGTTATTTATCTTGTTCTTATGCAGGGTTGCGTTGGACTGGTTTTCCCACCAACCTGAATGGTATGACATGGGTAATAACAATTTTGCATTGAGTGAGGCTCACTCAGTTTCTGCGTTTGTCAATCATCTTTTGAATGAACCAGTGGATGCTCAGCTTGATAGGAAGGGACAAGGACCAGAAAATGGAAGCTCTTTCAATAATGTGGTATGACATCACTTTCAGCATAGGTTTAAATGAAAAACAGTAACATGGTTCATTCATAATATAGGTCATTTGTTTTTTTACCTCAAGTGTAGGTCATTTAAGAATCAAATCAATGAAGTTTTGCAAGTTTAGCACTGCCTTAGTTATGGAAACACACAACACACAGTCAAATACTGAACCCATATCATTTTGCTCATTTCATGAAATTTATTACTTTATCCAGAAAGATCACTGTCACCCAATTTGGGGTCAGATAGAGAACTACACTGTTGGAAGAGAGAAGCGGAAACAGTTACTTTTGATGTTATGCCAGCATGAGACCGACAGACTTGATGTTTGGGCACAACCCATCGTTGCCAAGTAAACTACAATAAAATTGCCAGACATTTTTTTCTTTCAAAATTTTCTTCCAGTGCTAGCTAGCTAATCTCTACATAGTTTGTTTTTGGTGTTTAAGGGAAAGCATTTCACGGCCTAAAGTTAGCACAGATAAATTGGTTGAGTATGCTAAGACAGCCTTCTCTGTTGATCCCCGGATAGCTTTATCTCTTGCATCAAGATTCCCCACAAATAATGCTTTAAAAAGTGAAGTGGCTCTTTTGGTTCAGGTATGTTCTAACAAAATTTTAGAGATCAGAAATCACTAGTCTTGTTACTGTGATAAAATCAATCATTTTTACCCACATTTCTATTTTTTTCTCCTATTGTAGTTGCACATACTAGAAATTCGCAACATACCGGAAGCTTTGCCATACTTTGTCACTCCTAAGGCCGTTGATGAGAATTCATCACTTTTGCAACAATTGCCTCACTGGGCTTCTTGTTCAATCACAATGGCTTTGGAGTTCCTTTCACCACCATACAAGGGCCACCCTCGGGTGATGGCTTATGTCCTAAGGGTATTGGAATCGTATCCTCCTGATCGTGTGACTTTCTTCATGCCTCAACTGGTGCAGGCTTTAAGATATGATGAAGAGGTATCCGTTAGTGATTCAGATATATTTAATACCAAGTACTTACATGTAAAGTCAGAGTTTAGTTTTGAAGCTGCAAATTTATGCATGTATATTTTGAATAGAACCTAGTATAATCCTTCAGTAACTCTTAATTATGATTGTTAATCATATGTAGAGGTTGGTAGAAGGATACTTACTTAGAGCTGCACATCGAAGTGACGTGTTTGCTCATATTCTGATATGGCATTTACAGGTGCATGGATTTCCCTTTTCGGTTAATCTATACATACTTTAGTTTCCTTATATAACTGCTCACTCCAATAATATTATAGGGAGAGACATGCACACCAGAATCTGTGAAAGATGCTTCTGGAAAGGTATGCCTTTTGCAAATAAATCATTTATGTCACATAGCACTAGAAAATTTTTCTTAATACCAGGGATGCTATGTTTAAACCAATTTTTTAACTACTATTGTTTAACTAGACTAGTATAGGAGACAAGCTATGTTGCACGGATACGTCGATACGCCGATACGCGAATACGGGTACGGCGATACGGTAATTTCAAAAACTATAGGATACGGGTAGGGGGGTATATTTATAAATAATAAAAATATAGGATATAATTTGCAAATATATATAATTCTGGGGTTCATAAATAAAATAATAATAGTACAAAAATTAACTATTATAATAAGATTTCAAAGATTATGCTAAAAAAACTGAAGTGCTGATATTTCGATTTACATTCAAATATTTTTTTGTTCTCTATTTGCATTTACATCTAAGTCTTGTTTCAATTAAAGCTCATCAAATGATAAAATGACAAATTATAGTATTCCATTAGTTTCCATACTCCCGAATCATCTTTATTAATGTTCCACATCTTGTGGTCGCTTGGGCGGCTACTAAAATTTTGTCATGTCGTGTATTAAATGAAGGTTATATGGTCAAATACGCGTATCGGTTCACGGATACGGGTATCGGAAGTATTGGTACTTTTAAAAATAAGCCCGATACTTTTGTTAAATTACGGATACAGACCCAATACGTACAAGATGCGTATCGGTGAGTATCGGTATCGGATACGTATCGGATACGCGGATACGGCATCAGAGTCAAGTATCGGTGCAACATAGGAGACAAGTTCCATGCATCCCCGGATCTACTCTCTATTTCAGAGTGCATAATGCATAAATTAAAGAGTACTTTAAGGTATATTTATAAGCTTTAAAGAGGTTTTTATTATTAACGCTCAATCATTTCCAATATAAAAGTTAATGTAGTAAGTGAGGTGCTTTTTGAGAAGAGTGCTTCATGTACAAGTATAAATATATTTTACCAAAGATAGGAGTTTAAGATCTGTGAGGCGCACGCCTCGCGCCTCCGGTAAATCAATGAAAATGCTCCATGCCACCTCACGCCTTTTAAAATTAAGGCATAGACTCTACATTTGGATAGTCAAGTCTCACTTTTGTATTCTTAAATTTAAAATGTCCATGGACACAAATGATGTTTACTCTTAAAGTTAAATAAAATCAGGCTTTAGAAAGTCCTTTGGGAATATTAAGGAGTATGAGAGTATCCAATACCTAAGCTCTATATTTTCCCTATTGCACATTACATTAGGCTGGTTGTCCATTTTTTAAGCCATTTTTGTAATCTTCAGTTTTATCCAAAAGCAGAAATATAGAAGGATGAAGGGGAATGTTAAGCAGGTATATTTTTATGTTTCCCTAGCAGAACAACACGTTTCAGGCACTCTTGCTGGCATTTAGGCAGCATATAATTGACAGCTTCAGTCCTAAAGCACTTGATGTCTTTCAAAGAGAATTTGATTTCTTTGACAAGGTCACATCAATATCTGGTGTTCTGTATCCACTTCCAAAGGAGGAAAGAAGAGCTGGAATTCGAAGGTAATATAATTGAGATAAACTGGACGCCTGGATAATTAACTTCTTATACATATTCATATTTCTGACATTGTAGATTGTTTTTTATTTTTTGAACAGGGAATTAGAAAAAATTCAGGTGCAAGGGAATGACCTCTATCTACCTACTGCTCCGACTAAACTTGTCAGAGGTATTCAAGTTGACAGTGGAATCCCTTTACAATCAGCAGCAAAGGTTCCTATCATGATAACATTTAACGTGGTGGATCGAGATGGGAGTGAAAATGATATAAAGGCCCAGGCATGCATATTCAAGGTGAGATTAATAAAGCCTTACCAGATTTAAATGACAACTTAGTAAACACCCCTCAAAGTCATTTTTTGCCTGCATAGTTAGTAAACATCTGGTCGTTGCCTCATGTAGGTTGGAGATGATTGTCGGCAAGATGTTCTTGCTCTACAAGTCATTTCTCTTCTCAAGGATATATTTGAAGCTGCTGGGCTCAATCTCTATCTGTTTCCATATGGAGTTCTCCCAACGGGCCCAGAAAGAGGAATAATTGAGGTCAGTGTTTATTGGCCATTGCATTTGTTTCTATGTATGCTTACATTTTTATGTGTAAATATGTTTCACGTAAAATATGAAGATTGGATTTCATCTTTGTTGTTACTTTATAGGGGAAAAATGTGTGTGACAGAGTAAATATGAAGGTCATATGAAACGAAAAAAATTCAAGTGGAAAGGATAAGTTTAGTATTAAAGGTGTTGAAGCTTTTGGGTTGTAATGATAGTATAACCCATCTAGTTGTATCTCTCACTTGCTCGAAATAATGGTTTAATTGTTAATAGCTAGGTGTTGTTGAGAAGTAGAATGATGTATAGATTTCCTTCTGTAAATTTTTATGGGTTTCTATTCTTTACTACATATTTATCTTGTGTCAATCATCAACTTGATCATGAAATTGAGATGTGGCTTCTACGATTTGTATAAATAGCTAATACCTAATTTAGTCCCTTGACCATACACTATTACTCAATTTGGTTCTTGACTTTCTTGGTACTCATTTTAGTCACCGGCTATGCAATGTGGACCCAATTTGATTCTGTCCCTTCAATATTTGTGCGTGTTCATTCCTCGACTTTAGGATGTTTTGTGTTTTTAACCAACAAAGAATAAATGTGGGAACCACGCAGATGAACAAAAATAGCCTTCCTAATTAGAGTCAAGTATGCCTGAGCACTAATCTCAAATTCTCAATTGAAAGGGCCAGTTCATGATCAAAAGAAGTTAAAAAGGAAGTAGATATCTAAATGGAGTTGTAGTGTAATAGTGCATTGTCAAGGGTTTTAATTGGGCAATTATTTTGATGAACCAAATTGAGTCTATAAGGAAGTAGATGTCTAAATTGAGGTACTACCACTACTAAGTTATTGTCAAGGTTTTAATTTGGGCAATTATCATACATTTCGTAAATAGTGCTTTCCGATTAGGGTTTCCTTCACTTTTCTTTACGTTTCACTAACATGGTCTATTACTCTATTTAAAGAGGAGTTAACAAGAAATCTTTATACAGGTTGTACCTAATACGAGGAGCCGGAGTCAAATGGGAGAGACAAATGATGGGGGATTGTATGAGATTTTTCAACAGGATTATGGACCAGTTGGTTCTCCTGGTTTTGAAGCTGCTCGAAAGAACTTCATCATTAGTAGTGCTGGCTATGCTGTTGCTAGCCTTTTGCTTCAACCAAAGGATAGACATAATGGGAACCTTCTATTTGACAAGTATGTACGACCTACTTTTGGTACATTAGCCACATATACCATAACGCTCTTCCAATGGTTCTTTATAAATCCCCTCTTTCGGATTAATGAGAATTTTTAGGGGTTAATAATATAGTTATTACACACAAATGCTATTCAAAGGCTCCATACGATTACTGGAAAGTGGAAGCTAAGTTTTGATGAAGAGTGTTTTTCCAAGAAAATAAATTGCTCTATACACATATATCATGTAATGCTTAACCCACAAAAAATGGAAAAATAAAGCGGCTTCAGGAAAATGACTATTTTAAAAAGATGAAATCATTTTCACAAAAGTTAAATGAACCGAACAAACATTTTCCCTCACAATGTGAAACTAACCGCCTGTTTGGATAGAGTAAGTTTAAGTAAACCTAGTGATTTTATGTGAACCTAGGCTTATTAAAATTGGGTAAACCTAGTTGAACTCAGTTGCACATATAAAATTGTCATATGAATAATTGCTAGGTCAACTCAAGTGAATGCGGTAAAAGTTTGCATGGGTGAAGGTTAACCTAGGTCAATATGTTAAATTTACTTATAAAGAAAGTTTAACCTTCGATTTTTTTAATAGTGGTTCTGTATAACTGGGTTATTGGAGGTTTTTGGAAGTTCTCCGATGTAAATATAGTTTCACTTTAAAACTAGGTTCTTATAAAAAATACAAACGAGACTAGGTGGACCTAAAATCAACCTAGAAGAACTTATTTTCACCTTGAAACAAAAATGCCATAAAAGTGTTTCCGGATATTGTCTCTGTCTCAGCCAAAGTTAATCTGAATATAAATATTGTAATACTTAATTTAGTATTAGTCGTCGTTTGTAATCACCATGAGTATATTCCCATTTACCCCATGTTTGGTGGGATGAATTCTATATTTTCAATTAATTGTTTATAATTAGTTAACATTATGAGTTTATGCCAATAGTTATAAGTACAAAGTTTATGTCGGATGTGGGATCACCATCCTATAGCAACCTTCTTACCATGAAATAGTATATTGAAGACCATAATTTACATTCCTAGTTCTTTACTCTTTAGTAAACCAAATGACTTGACTATTTAATAAGAAAAATCTGTTAATGAAAATAATAAGAAAATCATGTAGTTTGGCTAGAAACCATAAATGTGAAATCCATGATAGGACATATGTATTCATCTCCCGCATACACAGAGCCACTCCCACCACAATGGTTGTTTGAGGTGCATGATTAACCATGAAAATGAAAAGTGCATTTCTCTGTTCAATTTTCATTTGCTCTAAATGGGGTCGGGTGGGAGGTAGAGTTACCATGGTACAGAGATTCACTTAAGACAGTTTTTGGTCAATGCAGTCTTGGGAGGTTAGTGCATATCGATTTTGGTTTTATCTTAGAGACTTCACCTGCTAGAAATATGGGATTTGAAAGCGCTAACTTCAAGCTAAGTCATGAGATGACTCAACTAATCGATCCATCCAGATCGATGAAAAGCGACTCCTGGTATCAATTTGTAAGGTGAGATGTCTTTTTTGTAACAAGTTTTAAGAACATTCCCCACCTATGGTTCTCAATGATTAGTTTATTCCTGACATTAGTACCTGGATTTCAATTTTTTGGTGCATAATAATGGATTTCTGGCCTCTTTTATCATTTACAGTACTTATCTGGCAAAAAGTATAGGAAAATATGCCAGATAAGTGATCATAAGTGATGACAAATCCATACTCGTGCACCAAGAGTTGAAAAATTAAAGAGAAGTGGTGGAATGCCTAATAGCCATGAAAGCCTAATAGCCATGAAACCATAAGTGTTTTTTCCTTATTTTTTATATGTTCTAAACCTATATGTGCTGAATAAACCGGTCGTATCTATGCTGTTGCATCTTTGCAGCTTGTGTGTGAAGGGGTACCTGGCTGCACGCCGCTACACGGATGAGATCATAAATACAGTGTTATTGATGACAGACAGTGGACTGCCTTGCTTCAGTAGGGGGGACCCGATAGGGAATCTTCGCAAGAGATTCCATCCTGAAATGAGTGAACGGGAAGCAGCCATCTTTATGATTAGGACGTGCACCGATGCATATAACAAGTGGAGTACTTTTGTGTATGATTTGATACAGTATATTCAGCAGGGGATTGAGAAATGATTGGTTTATACAACCATTCTTGGTGTACACGTTTTTGTACCCATCAGTACTGTGAGAGTTTTTTTTGTCTGTGAAGCGCGGTCCACAGACATAAGTTCGCTTGTTTTGTCTGTGGAAAATTTCACAGACAAAACAAACCAGCTTTTGTCTGTGGACCGCACTTCACAGACAAAAAAAACTCTCACAAACACATGCGTGTACTGATGGGTACAAAAACGTGTACAAAAGGAATTTTTGTTGGTTTATATAATACGAAGTATATAATATATCACGTAGGAGCCTTTTCTTTCCTTTTCCCTGTTTCCTTTTTTATCCTAAAAATGTGAGTGTTTAGAGAGGTAGGTTTACACTTTTCTGTATTCGTAGATGTTTGGGTTGTAGACATGTAACTTATAGAGGAAATTATGAGTTGCGACTGTAGTTCAATTTTTTTCAGTTATAGGGTGGTCAGTGGACGACTACAGAAAAGTATATGGGATAATAACTTTGTACCCTGTAACTTTCGAATCTTGTCGCAGATATATTTTGAGAGGTAGGGTTATACAGTTTTGTGTTCGCAGGTGTTTAGGTTGTAGTCTTGTAGACATTTAATTTAGAGGAAATACGAGATACATGAAAATACGAGGTACTAAAATTTTCATGGACAATCGAAGCCTCGTAGCAATTGTAGACTTGTAGGGTAATTTGTTTATGTTTAGTCACAAAATTTTGAGTCGATGATGGTACATGAAAAGTTTATAATTTCACTGTCTAGTATGACAGTATGACACTATTTGGGATATTTTAAATTGGATTGGTTGCAGCATAAGCTAGACTTAAACAAATTAGATTAGACGGATTAAATTTTGGCAATTGTAAAATACATATTGAACAAACATGTATCATTCCGCTTCAAACAAGATAAGACTTAAATAGAGTAGATAAAATTTTAGTTCAGTTCGAAATATTCTTATTTCCTTGTTTGATTAATGTGTCAAGCTCCCACATGTGTTCTTGAACAATTAAAGGCCCGTTCGGTGATTTTTATATTGCATGCCTTTTTAAGAAAAAACATGATTATGAAAAATTTACAACTGATCTGCAGTTTTTGTTGGTAGATTGAAAAACTTGTGCAAATCATAGCATTGCTCTCAAAAATTGCAACTCGGATGCTGACTGTTGACTGTTGAGCATGTCTGCATGTGGAATAATTGTGTTAATAAGCAACTCTTTGTACATGTTTAGATAACACTTCAGCGTTCAAAGAAATACTCCTATTTTGACTTCACAGGTTTTTAGGCAAAATGAAAAATAATGTCGACTTTCCAAATTTGCTCTTGATTTATTAAATTGGAGGCTGACAAAAAATAAAGGGGAGTGGAGCAAAGGAGTAGTAACATGGGGCAACACACATCTCTCAAACTATTGAAAACTGTACAAATCACCATTTTTTTTTGAAGTTCCATCCCAAAACAATTGAGATTCTCTCCCTTTTGCAATTGTTACCTTTTTTATAAGTAGACATAAATTAAACATCTTTGTTTAGCCTTTACTTCTTAAGATACCTCCACTAGTGTAGCTAGAAATGGATAACTTTAGCGTAGAAGATTCTGATCAAAGTTAGAGTTTGGATCTCAATCTGCCACCTCCAATTCAAGGTGCACATCTTTCACTCTTACCTGCACAAATACAAACTGAGGAGGGTGAGTCAATTGGGGCATGAGTCAATTGGGGCAGGTTCTGGCGACAGAAAATGGCCTAAACTTACATGTGAGCAGAGAAAAAGAACCATTCAAATATTGTTAAGCAATGCGAATGGATGACAACTTCAAGGGGGCTTATTGACAAATACAACCATGAAGTTCAACGTGTCAGGAAAAAACTGTCCAGAATTTATGGCACATAGCAAAACAAAAATTGAAAGTTGGCCTACCAATAAATGTCCAGAGCACGTGGAACTGTGGAAGGGATGCGTGGGTAAAAAACAAAGGCATTTGATTAAAGAAATCCCTTATGACCACAAAAAGACATGAGAGCTTTGGCCTATGATATGGAAGTGTCCAAATTTACTGTCCAAAGGTGGTTTAAGGGGTAGCAAATAAAAAAGCAGTCCCATGCAACTAGGTGCCTTTTAAATGATGTGGAAAAAATGAAGAGGTTAAATTTCTATTTAAAGAATATAAATCCTTCCTCATTACCCTTGATCCCAACATTTCATCACTTTTATGATTACATAGAGATTACCCCTACAAGACTGTCCAGTCTAAGATTTTCATACCAAAGATTCTGTTCTTAGCAACTTTGGGCAAACTTAGACTAAGGGACAGTGGGGAGGCTTTATGGGATGGAAAGGTTGAAATATTTCCATTCACTTACTAATACACGACCAAGAGATCAAGTAAAAACAGACTAGCAGGTACATTAGAGACTAAAACAACTGTAAGTGTTACAAGAGCAATTGTAAAGGATATAATACATAATTAACTACTGTCAGCAATAAAACAGAAGTGTCTGAATGCACAAAACAGGACTATAATCATTCAATAAGACAATCTCGGGCTTCATATTGATGCTAAAGATGCAAATTTTGTAAGGTATGCCACAAAAGATGGATGGAATATCCAATTGAGATGTCAAGCAACTAATAGCCTAGACTTAAAAGTCCTAGATTTAGGTTTTTAGGGCAATAGATTCCATTAAAGATCGGAAGGAACCAAAAACCATAATGGAGTTGATAAATGCAGTGATCACATTATTTGAAGAGCTTACACCTGCTACATTGAACAAAGTGTTCCTCAGCTATCAATATGTATTGGAAGAAGTTCTCAGGCATGATGGTGACAACAATTTCAAACCCAATCATGTAGGGAAAGATAGACTGCAAAGGCAGGGACTGTTACCCAATAATGTACAAATTTGTCTAGAACTGTATCGAACAACAAGGACAAGTTTCGCTGCACATTTGACAACTATCACATCACATACGTCAACTCAAGACTTTGAGTTCATAGGTGAAGATGTGTAACATCTTCAAAAATGAACTTTCAGGTTGTAGGAAACACAACTTCTTTTTTGTTAATAATGCACTTATTTTTGTTAGTATTTACTTAGCTTGTGCACTTTTTGTATGCACTTCTATGTGGCAGACAGTGCATTAATGTACTGCCTAACCAGTGTACATTAGTTTTTGTAAGCCCATTAATATGCACTAATTAGTAGTGCATAAATGTATGTTTTTAGTTTTGATTGTTTGACTTATTTGTGAGTTTGCAAACATTTGTTTGAGTTTAGTTGTAATTGTATTTTAGCTTTCATTTGTAAGTTGTAAAGTAGTAGTAGAGTTGATGACGTTGGAAAAGGAAGAAAAGTTAAGAATATTATGCCCAGGATTAATACCCAGTCGGGTATGAGAAGAAAACAGAAGCTGCTACGAAATTGGGCATATACCTGGTCGGGTATAGGACTTTACCCGGTCGGGTATGAAGTGACCCGGACAAAGAGACGTGCTGAAAGACAAGAACGTGGAAGATTGATTTGAATTTGACCAATACCCGGTCGGGTATGCACCATACCCGGTCGGGGTACCCGGCCCAAGGTGTTGAAAACACCTATAAATAGCACACTTTTCCTTCACTTTTATTCATTCCTTCTTTCATATACTTAAGCTCTACTTAGAATAGTAATTTCTTTATATTTTTCAAGTATTGTTTAGTCTCCAAATGAGAAGCTAAGCTCTCATTTCTTTGTTTTGCTCTTGAAACTTGTTAAATGTTATAGTTGTGAGTTATTTTCTTAACTTCTTCTCTTTAATATTAATTTTTCCCTTAAACTTATTTTCTTAACGTTGGGGTGTTGCTAAGTGGCGATTAGTTAACGCTTCAACATTGATTATTATTAGAAACGATCAATGAATTGATGGTTAATCGTTGATGGTTTGACAAGTAAGTAACTTTGATTTATTAATGCACGGTCGTGGTTAATAATTTTAAGAAGGATTAATTGTGTTGGTTAAACCGAAACCGTTGTGTTGAGGTTATCAATCTCAATTGATTTCATGGAGTTAAAAAAGATTAAATGCTACTATTAAGTTTGTATACGACATTGTTCTGTATTTAACTAATAATAGGAAGGGTTGTTAATGAACGGTCATTATTAATAACTACTCTCAATGAATTGGAGATACTCCTTAATTGAGTATTCGAGAGGGGATGAGTTAAAAGGTATAACCGGGATCAACTAACATCTCAACAAGTGGAAAGTAGCAAAACCAAGTTCTTTATCTCTTTGAATTAAAACACATAGAAGTAATTCATCTTAGTATTTAATTAAATTAAACCACACAATCCCAAAACCCCCCCATTTAATTACTATTTCCTTTAAAGAAAAATATTTCTTACCCTGTGGATAGGAACTCTACTACACTATATTATACAAAGTATATAAGTTTTAAGTATTGAATTTATTTTGAGACAAATACGACTTCGGTGCCGTCAAATTTGACGCCGTTGCCGGGGAGATTTGCAATTATTTTTCTTTTTATTTAGAAAAATCAATGTATATGTATGTGTGTGTATATATAATAATAATAATAATAATAATAATAATAATAATAATAATAATAATAATAATAATAATAATAATAATAATAATAATAATAATAATAATAATAATAATAATAATAATAATAATAATAATAATAATAATAATAATAATAATAATAATAATAATAATAATAATAATAATAATAATAATAATAATAATAATAAAAGTATAAAGATTTCTATTTTTCTGAGCTTTGTTTGAGTATATGGTAAAAACCCGATCTATAAACCAACTCACCTGTCAAACAAACCTCGAAATAGAACAAAACTTTGAGAGGTTGACGAATTTATTTCCAAACACTTCTTTGGATGAATCATCAAGTGCTAGCTCTCATTCTAACAAGCCCGAAGAGCCAATAACTATGGCTCTTGACCATGAACATTGAGGGAGCTCATGACTCCTAATTTCAACCAACAACCCCTATGTATCACCTTCTCAACTCTTGATGCAAGTGCTACATTTGAGTTGAAGTTCAGGCTCATTCATCTACTACCTTCTTTCCACGGGCTACGAGGCGAGGACCCGAATAAACATCTTTCGAAGTTCCACATTGTTTGTACAAGCATGTGTCCGAACGGTGTCACCGAGGAGCAAATCAAGTTGAGGGCTTTTCCATTCTCCCTCAAAGACACCGCGAAGGATTGACTGTTTCATCTTCCCTCAGGAAGCATAGGCACTACGGCGGCAATGAAAAAATGCTTCCACGAAAGGTATTATCCTGCCTCTGCCTCCTCATCTATGAAGAAGCAAACTAGCAACATGGAAGAGGATGAATCGTTCTATGAATTTTGGGAACGATTCAAGAAACTTTGTGTAAGTTGTCCAAATCATGTGGTAAAATAAGTTACTTTAACTTTCATTTTAAAAATTGACTTATTTTTTTGAAAAAAAAAATGACTTATCAAAGCCAGCTCTTAATGAACCCGAACTCTCTCTTTTCTCTAGAGAGAGGGGAACCCTAGCGGCCGTCTCCCCTCTTTGTAGGGGTTGAGATTTTTCGTCGCCCCTATCAATATGGGGTTGGGGCGACATATTATACTGATTTTAAGTGTTCTAACGCTTGGGATTGCAACTATGTCGGAGGATATAGAAGTTGACAGATGAATGAGGTGTGGCTGGGAGGTTGTTCGAGGCTGGATTGTGAAGTCTTGGTCGGCCATTCCGACAGCGGTGGAGTTGGTATTCACCTATATTGCAAGAGCTCGACCTCCTTCAGAACCAACTCTGCACCAGGAAAAAAGATTTTATTTCAGTATTATTTTCTTTTTAGTTGCAATTGTTTTTGTTTTAGTCCGAGTATATTTGGTTTAAATGTTTGGATTTTTGGAGTTTTTTTTATAGGTAGGGTTTCAGTTTCGGTCATTTTAGGCTTAAATTTGTCCGTTTCAGGTTTAACGAGTCATGCTGCTTTGTATAAAGTGACTGACTTTAAATCTACTCCCTGCAGTTCACAATTGATCCTGTAAATTTTGCCTGAATATTGTTTTGTATGTGCTCTAGTCTCTCGATTTTAATATAATCACAGCTATGCAAAAATCGGGATGAAAACATTTTTCTCTCGTCAACATTTAAAGAACTCGGGTTAGTGACTGTATCTCCCGATTTGCTATGGAGTACGGACAGTTTTGAAAGGACCCAAGATTGTTTTATGTATGATTAAGTAGATAGCTGTGTGGTATACCTGAATTATCATGAAAGTGAGACAAATCCAAATAGAAAAATGGCTGATCTCATCATCTAAAGCATTAATGACGCTTCTTGATGCTCCGTACTTCTTTCAATCAGTTTGGCATCAGCTTTTCCTACGATTCACTATTAGAGAATGTGCTTCCTTTAAAGCAGACAAATTTCACCCCACACTCACTGCCTCTTTAATGGCTTCTCCTTTCCTGCCATTTTGAATGTAGCTCTAGGATCCAAGGTAAGCGGTTATTCTTCAGAAAAAAAAATTATTTATTCTCTCTTCTTCTTCTTCTCTTCCTGATTTGACGTGTAACTATTTGCCTGAAACCCATCTGTTTATGGCCATTGTAATATGTGTACTACATTGCTTAATTTCATTGCTTCGCAAATTCTTCATCTGTTTTTGGTTTCTCGTAATTCCGATCCTCGCTTTCTTGAAGAATTCTCTAATTATTAAGATCCAACCTGGTTTGATTTTCTTACGGTTATATTATACTTTTCTGCATAAATAAGAAAACGAGAATATGCTGCGAACCACAATGCGTATGTTTTGTGCAATTGTTTATTATTCTATTAAAATTCCAGCTCCTTTGAACCGAAGAGATGAGGTATTGTTCCATGCTTATGATTGAACTCATATATAGCTCCAGTTCTGCAATTCTCTTCCATCTTCTTCTTGAACTGAATAATTACCCCCCTTTTTAAGCGTGAACTTGGCTTGTTGCCCCCATTGAGCCCCCCAACTTCTAAATGGACATCTTGAGGACATGAGCAGGCTAGGTGCAAACTTGATCCACATTAAACCCTTCTTTCATATGCAAGCTCTGTTAGAAACTCATATTCGTTAGTACCTGAGAAAGTTGTCAGAAACTCATATAAACCCCAAACAGATGGCACTTTGTTGTGAACATTGCTGAGGATTCTCATGGAGGGTAAGTTTAGATAAAGATACATTGATAGAAGGGCTCAATGTAGCTTAAGTTCTCCCATGACGTGCTAAACATGTCCAAAAGCTGCTCTTTTATGTATCAAAAGCTTTGATTGGATAGAAGGCTTATGTGGGCTGCAGTAGAAAAAATCACGCAGTAGTTGTTTAGATTTTCATCCCTGCCCAATGCATTCTAGACTTTTTGTTCCAAAACTATCCTTGAAACATTGAAATTATGCTCTTTAATGTCAAATAAAAACGTTCTGGTCATCATTTTATCTTATCCACCCAATGGGACTACTTGATTCAAGATGTGTTCCAGGTTCAGCATCCTCAAATCTTTTTCCTTGCAATATCTTGTTCAGAAAATAACCCCTGATCAGAAATTAGTCTGCTCGGTGTGCCAAACATAGCTTAAGTTTTGGTTCTGACCTGCTAAATATGTCTATTTAAAGGTTGATGGGCTCAATAGGGGTCAACAAACCAATTTGTGGGCTCAATAGGGGTCAACAAACCAATTTGTGGGCTCAAATTGGATTTTCCTTTCATATGATTGATCTTTGTACACGGCCTTACCTTATGGATATCATATATGAAGACTTTTAAATGCTACACCATAGCTTGAAGAGTTCTTTCTTTTACAATGTCTATATTTTTCTTCGTTGCAGGTTGGAACTGGGTGCTGAATTAGTCCTAGTTTCACACCTTGAGTATGACGTCCAAACTAAAGAATGGTTTGCGTTCCATTATACCCCTCCATTTGCAAGGTGAATCCGCCCCCAGTTTTTGTATGTTCTCTAGTGTCAAGTCTTCAGGATGTAGTCCAGGAAACGCACCGGTTTATATTAATGTTTATGACTTGACTCCCATTAATGGATACTTCTACTGGGCTGGAGTTGGCGTCTTTCATACTGGGATTGAAGGTCAGTCAATACTCTCTGATGTATGGGTTGCATTATTAAATTGTTTTAGCTCTGAGCCTTTTTAATCAAGAATCTAGTCTAATAATAAATGACATTAATTAATGAATCCAAGAAAGATAATTGCTAACCTGCGGCAAACTTAAATCATTATGACAAGTTACAAGTTCTAACAGAATCTTCAAGCATCTTGTATGTTTGGATCCCAGAGTTCTTGGGAAATGAAAAAATAAAAATTCTAAGCTGTTTTTGCGTGGTTGGTTTTATCTCTGAAAATGAAATATGGATTATGTAATATTTTTCCCCTCATTCTCTTTTCTTCCAAATCGTTAGTGTACTTTCCTTCCTATTTTGTTTCCCTTGCAATTTTTTCCAAGCATACTCTTTAAGAATCAGTGAAAAGTTTTGAGACACAATAAGAAGGAATCAAAATAGGAAGGAATAGAGAGAGCATTCGCTATCTAAAAAGGAATCATGATAACGAGTAATACATAGTTAGAATAGAATGTATTTCTTGTTGAAAAGTGTCCACATTGACAGATTGACTCAATGTGAAACTTGAGTAAGTATTCGAAATCATCACCTCTTCTTGAGAGCTCTTATGAACTCGTTCTGTTGTTAGATTAAGTGGTTAATCATGAAGAATGGATCTCCATGCAATATTAAAGACACTAGTTAATGCTTCAATTTATTTCTCAGACAGTGGTGAGCAGTAGTTATAACTAATATTTTTGTATTTCAGTGTATGGTGTTGAATATGCATTTGGGGCACATGAATATCCAACAAGCGGTGTATTTGAGGTTGAACCAAGACAGTGCCCTGGCTTTAAGTTTAGGAGGTCAATTCGGATAGGAACCACTTTTTTGGACCCAATCCAAGTTAGAGAGTTCATGGAGCACCAATCTGCAAATTACCTTGGTGATTCGTATCATCTCATCAGTAGGAACTGTAACCATTTCTGTCAGGATATATGCTACAAATTGACAGGGAACAACATTCCAAAATGGGTGAATCGGCTAGCCAGAATAGGTGCCATATTCTTATTTTGCCAACAAGTTTTCTTTATGTATTAATATGGACTAATTGATTAATATTTTTAATATTTGCTCCTTGAGATGCGTTTGTAGAGTTTCTCACGCACAAGCTAGAAAGCACATCAAATGTCAAGGAGTCTTTTGAAAATAAATCCCATTGTGGGTGCTAAGCTTTTACTTAGGCGTCTAGGGGTAAGTGTCTAGGCCCAGTTAATCCTCAAACGAGTAAGTGTCTAGGCCCCGTCCCCGTCGAAGGCGGTCGAACCAAAACCTATTGAACCAAATCAGCCAAATATTAACCAACCAACACAGAAACTAATCGTACCTTAAGCGGTTTGGTTCACGGTTAAGAGTCGGGATATCAAAACCGACCAGAACAACAAACAACAACAACAACAACATCCAAGCCTTATTCCCAAAAGATTTTGGGTAAAAACAGGACAAAATAGACTGAAACTGACTTAGCCAACAAAAGTGGCTGAAATTGTCCAAAACCAACCTGGAGGGACAAACCTATAAATTAAGTTATTATGTTTAGTTTTTGGTATGACATTTTCAAAACTGGACCCATGGACCGCCTGAACCAACTGAGAACACTTGGCCTATGCTTGGAATGTGGAAAATGGTACTAAAAAGAAAAAATGTTGATGAATTTACTTTATCCCAAAACTTTCTTTCTTCCTTTTCAGATTCCCTCCCTATTTTCTTTCCCTAGCAATTTCTGGGTTCCAAACTGAGCTTTAATGATTTTTAACAACACTGTTGAGGTGTGTATTGTGTAGAATAGATGCTGACCCACTCAAGGATTGCATCAATCTCTCTATCCGTTTTTTAACTCTTTTGCCTGACTCTCTACTTTAGGGTCATTATGCAACTGCATACTGCCAGAATCCCTTAAAGCATCGGCTGTGCAGCAGAAGAGTGGGAATTTTAAGGGCAGTGACAATGAGAAGAGGAAACTCAGAAGCTCGTTTGGCTGCTTGTCATCAATCTCAATGCGTAAAAGGGATAAAGAAGTGCCATTGTTCTTGCACTCACACTGTTTGCCACCCTGGGGATTAAAAGCTTCTAGAAGCGGTTCCTTTAGGGAATCTTGACAAGACATTTCTGCATTCTCTCCAGATCTAATATACCAAACTCGTCAGCTGAAGCAGCAGTTTCTGATGGAAGACCAATATATCTCTCTTCAGATTTTAGATTTGTTATTTTTATTTTACTTTTGGTAGTTACCCTCCAGATTTACACCTCATTTTGCCTGCTCAATTTTATGAGTCACTTGTGCTTGTTTTTTTGCAATTTGTTAACTATAGGAAAGATGAATGTATCTCCTGGAGAAATCTCCTATTTCTTCAACCTTGCTGTACTTGTTAAAGTTTCCAGAGGACTGGACTAAAGTAACCCCATGAACTACCCATGTTAATATCTAAAGAGTTGGCAGAGTTGATGACTTTGATATAATGAAATTACCTGTTCAATGACTTCAATCAGGTCAACTATGTATCAAATCATTTATTCACCGGCTATTAGCATACATGTCATAATTCTGGTTTAATCACGTCATTTGTGGATAATGTTACATAGTTACAAAACTGATTTATAAAGTGGTTAATGTTATTGAACATTGCATTTTGATATACTACGTATAACATTGAATTTTGTTCATTCATATATCAATTAAAAATCAAGTGTTCATTTTGTTGGGTCATCTTAATGGTTGGAAATTTTTAAAATTAAGGTCTAAATGTATGTTAGTATATGATTTACTCCGTGCAAAGTATATTTTGTTTTTTTCAAACTTTCAACACATTCTCGATCAATCCTGTTAGGCTGTTCTAGTTCTACTGGACTTGCCAATTCTCTGGTAACAAAAAAGCTAAATACAGCTACAATTTATATGCATATGAATTTTAAAATGAAATATTAAGGAAGTGATCTAGCTTAACTGATCGTTGACTCACTTAGGGGTCGGCAAAAATACCGAAAAATCGGTATACCGCACTTACCGTGTCGAAAAATACCGGAAAATACCGAAATATTGGTATACCGTCATTTTCGGTACGGTATCATACCGTACTGATCTATTTCGGTACGGTAAATGTTTTCAAATACCGCGGTATACCGGTATAATAACGTACCGACTCCCTCCCTACTCAACAATTACTTTTAATTCTAATATATTGTAAAAATTCATTACAATTTTGAAACCCAAGATTAATACTTAAGTTGGTTACAAATACAAAATACTCCCCCCGTCCCAAAATTAACTTCTCACTTTCCTTTTCTGGCAGTCCCGAAATTAACTTCACACTTCAAAACTTTCCTTATTTGGCAAATAATCTACATCAAAAAAGTGCCAAACAGTGTCAAACAGTGTCAAACAGTGTTTAAACAGTGTAAAACAATGCACTCCCACAGTAAAGTCAAATTTATTTTCTTAATTTGTGTGAAGTCAAACTGAGAAGTTAATTTTGGGACGGAGGTAGTACAAAAATAAATGCCCAATTTCTCAAACTCACTATAACATAATAGGCTTCTACTCCGCTAACCTTAATGACTAATGAGTAATGTACAAATGTCAAGAAACAAGTTCATCTTGTTCCAAGAGCTTGCAAGTCGTGATGGTTGGGCCGCTAAGTAGCTGACGAGTGAAGAGAGATACACTTATGTGATAAGTGTATCTACATAAGGAATCCGCGAGTCGAGACACACAACTTTGTCCGAAAGTTTTATTCAATTTTTAAAAAATTATAAAAAATGACTAAATACACAATATCATATTAGGAATAAGGGTTGGTTTGCAACTACTTTTAAAAAAGCACTTCTCAGCTTTTGGCTTTTAAAAAACACTTATTTTCCCAAACACTACAACTTTTATTTTTCTCGGCTTTCGCGTCAAAAGTGCTTTTTACCTTTTCTATTACATAAAAACACTTATTTTACCAAACACTACCCACTTTTACTTTTCAAAATCACTTTTTTCTCAAACACTATCAACTTTTATTTAATCACTTCTCCTCATTTCATTTAAAAAAACACTTTTTTAAAAGCAGAAGCTGTTGCAAACAGACCCTAAATAATTTTATATCCATGTTGTTTGAATAGTTTTTTTTAGAGATCACTATTGATTTAATTATATTTATATTGTTCAAGTTATTTTAGGAGAATGTGTTACTTTTTAATATGTGGCATGTTGAACTGCTTAAATACATTAATAATAATTATTGTTCAATATTGAATTGACATCAATAGATTATTAATTGTATTTCGTAACATTTTAATAATAGATTTAATATGTCACTAGTAATAACGATTTAGTATATATCGTTAGTTTATGATAATTTTTTGTATTGAGAGACATGCACGGTAATTTACTGATACCGTACCGTTACCGGACCGAAACTTCGGTATACCGAAATGCAGTATACCGAAACTTCGGTAAGGTAAAGGTATGCAAATTTTGCATACCGAAAGTTTTGGTACGGCAAATGTATGAGAAAAAATATATGATATACCGTATCGAATCATCCCTAGACTCACTCTCTCATACAAGAAGTTTCTGATTCGAAACTCTATAAAGGGAGTTTCAGTCTTGCTTACTTCAGACTCCTCCCAGCCCCATGAGACCCTCTGTCCCATGGGGTAAAAAAAAATCTTAAAATGAAATATTATTATGTACTAGCTTGAAAAAGATTGATAAAATTCTATCAATGCAGGTTGAAGAATCATATTTGAGTTATTATTTTTCTCACCTAAAAACTTGCATACGAAGTTACAAACAAAACCTCTTCGAACAAAACCCAATTAAAATCCTTCCTAGCGTCGCTTCTTCTGTTGAAAAATAAAGGAACTGAAACGGCATCAGATTTGAGATTTCAAAGAGAAAGAAGAAGCCATACGGTTCATAAACTTGGAGAGCAAGCGATCCCGTCAGTCTAGAGAAGCGCATTCTCTCACTTCCCATCACACGCTACTGTACATCTAAGAAGGTTCGTAAAGATCCCGGTTAAACATATCTTCTTCTTCCGATTTTATCATTCATTTCAGAAGTATTTTTTGAACAAACATCTTCTCATGCTCCATGCTATCTCTAAAACCCTAATTTTCCTCGTGCAAGCCTCTGTTCTTCTCAGGCTGTGATGGAAGTCGACTTCTCAGAGTATCGGTTGAGATGCCAGCTTCGAGGCCACGAAGACGATGTACATTATCTTACTCTTATGCTCTCCCTTTCAACTAATATTTACTGAATCCGTTACACTGTTTCGTTCTTCTTGTGTTGTTTTTTTGTTGGTTAACACGGGCAATGGTAATCAGGCTACATTATATTTTAGTCTCATACTAGCTTTTCATTTTCAATACTAGTCTAATGGTTAAGATTAATTTGTTATGGAAAATATATTTTTATCTAGTTTTAATTCTTAACATGATCTAATGGTTGAAACTAAAACTTGAGATGAATTAGTAATGAAATTGGGATAACTGAATTCATCTTTGGCCTAAAATGAAAGAGGCCTAAGATTGTTCATCTTAAGCTTACCACACTTGATCATTCTTGTATTCCTATATATATGTGGGCCTAAATTTAGAGCCCGTTTGGAGAACTCTGTTTTCGGCTTATCAGGCTTATCAGCCAGCTTTTTCACCAAACACGTAACTTTTACTTTCGCGCGCTGAATTGTGTAATAAGCCGAAAAAGTAAGGTTGGAGTTACTTTTCTGGCTGTATTGGCTGAAGTTACTGTAGAGAACCATTTTAGCTATTTTTACATATAATTTTTTCTTTAATTTATTAATAAAATATATTTTTAAAATATTTTTTTCTTAAATCAGCAGAATCAGCCAAAACAGCCACTCCAGCCAGAATATCATAAATTTCAGCAGAATCAGCCAAAACAGCCGATTTTGGTGCTACCAAACGGGCTCTTAATGAAATAATGTGTGATCAATTATATTGATTTTGAGGTACAACATACACTCAAGTGCACATGTGAATCACAACATATATCTAGAGATTTTCTAGCGCATTTAAAGCGTGTTTATTGTTTGACATATGACTATGTGAACTTATTAAGGATGTATTGCTTCATCAAATAACTAGGTTCGCGGTATATGCATATGTGGGAATACTGGAATTGCAACTTCATCTAGAGATCAAACTGTTAGGTTGTGGTTACCAGATGGTTCAAACAACCGTGACTACACTATGTCAAAGATATTATTGGGTCATACAAGTTTTGTGGGCCCCTTGGCTTGGGTCTCTCCGACTGAGGAATTTCAAGAGGGTGCACTTGTTTCTGGAGGCATGGATACAAACATTTTTGTATGGAATTTGGGAACAGGCGAGAAAATTCAGGAGCTGAAAGGCCATAAGTTGCAAGTGTCTGGCATTGCTCTGGATGGCTCAGATATTGTGTCAGTTTCTGTTGATTGGTAAGTTAGTTTTTCATCTTGTGTTATAGTTTGTTTGGGCATTTTCCACAACTGTAATAGCTATGGCCTATTGTTTAATTTTATTGTTTTGTCATGTATATGGATTCTTTTCCACTTTAACTCTTGTGAGTTGGTTTATTCTTATACGAAGTATTAATTATATCCTTACATTGCAGTACATTACGTCGATGGAGGAGTGGTAAACAGATTGAAGTTCTGGAAGCTCATAAATCACCCATTCAAGCACTTATTAAGTTGCCTTCAGGAGAGCTTGTGACAGGTAAGGGTGTAAAATCATCTTAAAGACTTGCCTAGTTGCCTATTATTTGTATTGTTAATGAATCTAAAACTAAATTAGGTCAATAGTGTTGGTCTACACTCTACACATTTACAAGGAATGTTTTATCCCTTCATAGAGTATTATACTTTTACATTTTTTATTTATCATTATGGCTATTAGGTTCCAGTGATATGACATTAAAGCTTTGGAAGGGTGTCACATGTGCACATACTTTTGTTGGTCATACAGGTTTGTCTCTGGACTAGTAGTTCTGAACTTAACATTGGAATTGAGTGGCATTTATTTGTTTATCAAACAAAATTACTGATTCCACCCTTGATTCAGTATTCTTATTTGCTTTTTAAATCCCTGGTTAAACATCAATTAAACATTGCAGATACAGTTCGAGGTTTGGCTATCATGCCTGGGATAGGAATCCTCTCCGCATCACATGATGGGTGATTTTTTTGTTGTAGTTGTTGTTGGCTTTTGCTTTGTCACGAAGCTTATTTTGTTATCCTTACTTCTTGATGGAAACACTTGCTGTTTCTGTTATATTTCTGAGGTGGTTGCTAAACTACTGGAGTTATATCTTGAACTCTACTCCTTTGTTTTCTTTTTAACCTATCTATTAATTAGTTTAAATTTCTACCTAATATGTGTTACATTGAAGAGGTAGTTTAGGAAATAATTACCATTGCTGCAATATGCTTAACCCAAAAAAAAACCTATCTTATAGGTTTAATATGCTAGAAGCATTTGCAAATTTCTCAAAAAT